CGGAGAGAGAAGCCTCGCTACTCCATTCAGGCTCCAGAAGAGACATGGCTGCCCAGTGCTCATGGTATTCCCTCTGGTGCTTGATATTGAGCTTAGGTTTGTTTTAATTATATCAGACTCCAAACCACAAGTTCATGACTTTGTAGCAAAGAGAGTGTTCGGATTTACTTTACCCTAGTTCAGAGGACATGATACTTTTAAATATCCAAAGGAAAATCAAACTTTTGGTTTCTTTGTTTCAATGTATTGTAGAGTATTCATTGTATAATAATTGTAAAAAAAATACAGGTTACTACTTCACGGATTTCGGCTATCACGGGTTCTTTTTGGAACGTAACCCCCGCGAAAAACGAGGGTTCACTGTAGTTCATTTCGCCTTTGCTTTACGCCTCTAATAGTATACATTAACAAAATCAAAACAATAAAAAAAGTCCACATCAACCGTTCTTCACCTGTTGGCCGAGGATAACATTTAAAGTTCTACAAAATAATATACTACTCTTAGAAAGACTGAGAGTACAGTTCTAATGGCTGTCCCTTTTCGGGTGCGTGAACCCCTGCTTGTCCAAGGCCACGCACAGGAGCCGTATATAAAGCGGCTTCCACAAGCAGTCAGCAGACACAGCGTCCTCGGTGAGCCAAGAAGAGGTCCAGCCATGAAGCTTTCGGTGAGTCGCCATACCTGTGAAAGAACTCTCTCTCTCTCTCTCTCTCTCTTCTCTTCTCTTTCCTTTAACTCCCTATCCCTCTCACTCCCCTTTCTCTCTTTTTCTTCTCCTCTGTATGTATGTATGATTTATAGATAGATAAATAGACTCTACTGACACAAATATGTATATAGATAAATAAATTATATACATATATATGAATATATATTACTGACAAAATAAAATTCGCTGATTAGCATTAATATACCGAAAATTATTCATAAAATTTCTCTCACGGACAGTTCCATGATTTTTCTTGCAGTATAAAATAATAAGTTTTAACTTTTCCAGGCAATCGCACTGGTGTGTTTGGCAGCGGCCGTGGTAACACACGCCGATCCCGAGCCACACAAGTACCACCACTACCCCTACCACTACTACTACCCTCGCCACCACAATGTCGAGCCACTGGAGGGCGATGGAGTGGCCAGGCATCCTGGTGGCGGCACCTCCTTCGTGGCTCCTCAAGTTCACGGCCTCACAAAGCGCTCAGCTGACCCCATGCCGGAAGCTGACCCTCAACCAGCAGCTGACCCTGATCCATCCAACAGCTATAGTTACCAGGTAGTCCACCATGGCCATCCTCGCTATGGATACCACCATGGCTATCGCTACCCTTACAATAACTACCGCTACAACAACTACTATGGTTACCCTCACACATACCACAGCCACCACAAGAGATCAGTCGAATCGGAACCCGAACCTCAACCTCATTACAGCTATCACGGACGCCCTCACTACTACAACAGATACTATCACGGTTACCCCCACTACTATCCTTACTACGCCGGTTACCGCTACCGCTACAGGGGATAAGGAAGGGGTCAGGCATGGATTACGACAGGCCTTGTGGCGATGGTCCTTCACCAGATGTGTCTGATAGTCCGGTTTGCTCACGCCGGTTTTTCAGGCACAGGCAGGGTGGTGATCACGTTTCGAAGACAAAAAAAAGGGAATATCTCTGCAAAATTAGTATTTGGAATCATTAGTGTGAAGATTAAAAGTGATAATAGAAATACGTAAATTTCTTTGTCCTATAACATTCCTTCGTTCTTTTGAAAAATCGTATGATAAAATCTACTTAGATAAATATACCCATATGAATATCTGCTCATCTGCTTCTAGGTTTATGATTTACTCAAATTATCCCTCGACTTAACTACAAACAAATTCGAGTTTTCCTATATTTTATTGTGACACTTGAAATCTATTTTGTAGATGGGATTTCAGGACCTAAAATCCTGCTCTAACACATATTAGCAGTATCCTTTGCTTCTATAGATAGGATCACAGAAAGGCTTAGTCGAGCACAGTAATAGTAAATAAACTATGAATTGATGAATTAATGTCGTTTGATGTGTATGATTAGTGAAATTTCAAGATTAGATTTCGTAGTAGATAAAACAAAAATGTATACCAAAGTTTAAAGTCGAGGTTCACGATTTAGGAATAAAACCAGGATACGAGAAGCTTAACTATTTCGAGACATTTTCACGAAGTGGAGGGAAGGTTGGCAGACAAGCTGGTATTGTGTAGCTTTTAATATACATTCTCTTTACACTTTCAAGTGCTTTTGAAAAAAATAACAGGGCTACATATATATTTACATTTCTTCTGTCGGTCAGTATATTCGTGAATTAACATATCAATTTCAATTACTTATACTATCAATCAATATCCATCTCTTCAATTATATCCTTTTACTATGAGAGAGAGGAGAAGAGAGAGGGAGAGAGAGATAAAGAAACAACACAATCGTAACATTTCCACCAATCACACACGTCGAAAGCCATTCATTCATAAATATTCTGTTTAATGAGTGTGGAATTGTCACTTAGTGTGATCTTTTAACAGAAAGTACTACAGAAACCCTTTTCCATAACCTCAAAACTAATAGAAAAGGGAGATATTGGAATATTCTGCATCAGATTTTTTTACCCTTTAATGCTCCTGAAAGTGTTCATGCACGGAACCTACTTTGGTGTTGGAATTTCTTCCTGTAAGGATCTGCATTATGCGCTCCGATTATTGTTATGTGATCTCTTTGATATGATGAAATTCTGATATGGAATGCTGTCCTAACACATGTTTCCCCTGGAAATATATCAATATTTTTGTTTAATGAGAATATACTTTTTTCAGTGAAATATACATTTATATGAGAAACAGGTTGCGAAATTCGGCAATATCTCTAAATTTGGTTTAATTTTGAAAAACAATCAAACGAGAAGGAACAATCCTTGTGACCGAATTCAGGTAACAACTATGGGTTTATGAACCACTGTTGACAAATCAAACAGGTCCAGAGAATGTCACTTGCTGAGTATGTAAACCAGTGGCTCCCACTCTGGGTACCGCGGCACCCTGGGTGCCATGGGCAGTATCTAAGGATGCCGCAAGGTTTACATATATATATATAATTATATAGGTAGATTATAACATTCTATATAAAAATTATCATAAACTACCCGGTTACACTACATTCTACACATAATTCAACTTCATTTATATCCTTTAGAATGAATAATATACACATTATCTACTAAAATTAATTTACGAAAGTTGTGGGAGGAGCAAAGAAGACAATGGCGCAGAGAGCACTTAGGTATGTCTAGGGTGTTATCACCGAAAAAGGTATCTATATCTATCTGTATATCTGTGTATGTATATGTATACTTAGAATTACATACATATATATCACTATCGACACATATATGAATGCATAAACAAGCACATGCACATATATGTGTGTGTGTGTGTGCATATACACACAAAAGTACATACATGTAAATGTATATATATGTATATACATATATATGCGTGTGCATTCATATGTGCATGAATCTAATTGCATCAGGACATATACTACTATCTATCAGCCGATCCACCTATCCAGGTGTTCTCCTGCAAGCACTTAGGCCTATCGGGAAAATAATCGGCGAGGAAGCCACGCCCCTGAAGGCCACGTCAGACTCCATATATAAGGAGGCTTCGCAAGCAATCCGCAGAGACGACCCGTCCAGTGAGCCTCCGACAGGACCAGCCATGAAGTTCGCGGTAAGCACACAAGCAGATAAACACACATTTATACATATATATACATATATCTATGTATGTGTGTGTACATACACATATACACACACACACACATATACATGTATGATATATATATGCATATATACATATGTATACTATATATACATATATATATATATATATATATATATATATATATATTATGTATGTATGTATGTATATGTATATATGTATATATACGTATATACATACACATACATGTATGTAAATATTTGTATGCTCAAAAATGTTACATAATACATATATACACATATATATGTGAAAATTTATATGGATATATATATACATCTTATAAAGCTAATAAATATAATGTAAATCTAAATAGATTTAGTAAATGTAATACACCAGTTTGATAGATTAACAATATAGAATTGTATGAGAGAGATTTTTTATGAAGTGAAAAATACTAATTCTACGAACTCCCTTGCCTTATTACAGGTAGCTGTACTGGTGTGTTTGGCAGCGGCTGTGGTTGCGCACGCCGATCCCGAACCACACTACTTCCGCTCTCCTTACTATTACTACCCTCACTATTACTATCCCCGTCACCATCACCTAGAGCCTCTGAAGGGCGATGGAGTGGCCAGGCATCCTGGTGGCGGCACCTCCTTCGTGGCTCCTCGAGTTCACGGTCTGAAAAAGCGCTCAGCTGACCCCATGCCGGAAGCTGACCCTCAACCAGCAGCTGATCCTCAACCAGTAGCTGACCCTGATCCCTCCAAGAGCTATAGTTACCAGGTAGTCCATCGTGGCTATCCCCACTACGGCTACCACCATGGCTATCGCTACCCCTACTATGGCTACCGTTACAGCCATCACTATGGCTACCCTTACACCTACCACAAGCACCACAAGAGATCAGCCGACCCTGAACCCGAAGCTGAACCTCACTACAGATATTACGGACACCCTCACTACTACAAAGGATATTATCACGGTTATCCTTACTCCTATCCTTACTACGCCGGTTACCGCTACCGCTACAGGGGATAAGGAAGGGGTCAGGCATGGATTACGACAGGCCTTGTGGCGATGGTCCTTCACCAGATGTGTCTGATAGTCCGGTTTGCTCACGCCGGTTTTTCAGGCACAGGCAGGGTGGTGATCACGTTTCGAAGACAAAACTGAGGGAATATCTCTGCAAAATTGGTATTTGGAATCATTAGTGTGAAGATTAAAGGTGATAATAGAAATACGTGAATTTCTTTGTCCTACAACATTCCTTCGTTCTTTTGGAAAACAAAATCGTATGATAAAATATACTTAGATAAATATACCCTTAAGAATATCTGCTTATCTGTTAGGTTTGTGATTTAGTCAACTCTAGATTTATCTACAAGCAAATCGAGGTTTCTTGTATTTCCTTTATTATGACAAATAAAATCAGTTCTAGAGATAAGATCTCGGGACCTAAAGTCTTGCTCTAACACATATTAGCAGTATCCTTTGCTTCAGGGGGTGGAACATTTTTGATAATCATGAAAAAAAGCATTTTGCATCTTATAGATCCCATGCATGCGTCTGGGCTAAGAGCCATGAATCTAGATACCATCTGAACTATGAATTGGTTAACTGAAGTATACTGATGAATTTTTCAAATCCTTCAGTGGCGACCTCATGGAATATCAGGAAATGCTATCCCAGTATGTATCAGATTTCATACGTAAGATTAATCATAGACTCATATAAACAGCACTGAACAGGAGAGGCACCTCTGGTTTAGCAATGGCCAAAGTACAGTGCGGAAGGAGTTTCTGTACTCCCTCCAGAAAACTGATCCGCTAAGTGCCATCACAGTAATAGGAAATAAGCTGTTTATGAATGAATGCCTCTTGATGTGTTTGATTAATGGAGAAGTTTCAAGGTCAGATTTCACAGAAAAAAATGTATATATACTATAACAAAGATTAAAGTCATAACAGATTATCAGTCTGGTAAGTTGAAGCTCACGTTTTAGGAATAAAATCATGATAAAACAAGATGAAGATAATCGAGACATATTCATGAAGAAGTGAAGGGAAGGTTGACAGACAAACTGATATTGTTTAGCTTCTAATATACATTCTCTGTACCCTTTCAAGTGTTTCTGAAAAATAACAGGGCGACATATATATTTACATTTCGTCTGTCGGTCGGTTAGTCGATATTATATTCGTGAATTAACATATTTTCAAACAATTACTTATACTGTTGTGGGTGCATTAATTAGTAGAGTAAATTACTTGCATTATTACGTTTATTTAGATTGTTATTTTTTCGTTAGTTACATTTCATTTAGAATATATCAATGTTTAATCATTTAATCAATTGAAAGTGTTTAGGTGACCAGGCATAATACGTAAATCACGCAATGCAAATGTTTCGGAATCCGACCCGACCTGTGTTTCGGTGGCTGACTCGAGCTCACTCCTTGGCTGACTCCGATCGCACCGCCACCTGGCTTTCCGTCAGCCACTCCGCCATGTTGTAAAGCTCGGGTTTTGCACGTCTCTGCCTGTGGTCACTCTCGGCTAAGTATTTTGTCATTTTATATTATAAATAGGATAGGATGCATGGTATAGGAGTAGGATTTTGTTTTTCTATAATATATGTCACTATATAATTAATGTACATAAAAAGTATATATATTGAATAGAGTTATGTTGTTTATTCATGTGTGTGTGTTTTTTTCCCGACGATTTTGACCCTGCTATGGGCAGTAAATAATACCCTAGACTTCTATTGCCGCATAATAATACTATCAAGCAATATCTATCTATCCACATATATAATTATACTGACATTACTAAGCATCCTTTTACTAGGAGAGAGAAAGGAGAGAAAAGAGAGAGAGATAAAGAAACAACATAACCGTAAAATTCCACCAATCACACACGTCGAAAGCCATTCATTCATAAATATTCTGTTTATTATGAATATGGAATTGTCACAATGAATTCTTTTAACAGAAGTACTACAGAAACCCTTTTCCATAACTGCAAAACTAGTAAAAAAGAGAGATCTTGGAATATTCTGCATCAGATTTTTTTATCCTTTAATGCACCTGAAAGTGTTCATGCACGGAACCTACTTTGGTGTTGGAATTTCTTCCTGTAAGGATCTGCATTATGCGCTCCAATTATCGTTATATGATCTCTTTGATATGATGAAAATCTGATATGGAATGCTGAACACATGGTAACAGTAAATAGTAAGTACAGTAAATACAGTGCAAATTATTGAAAAGGCTCTTAACACATATTTCCCCCTGGAAATATATCAATATTTTGTTAATGGATTTATTTTCAGTGAAATATACATTTATATGAGAAACAGGTTGCGAAATTCGGCAATATCTCTAAATTTGTTTTTATTTTGAAAAACAATCCTAACAGGAAGGAACAATCCTTGTGACCGAATTCAGGTAACAACTATGGGTTTATGAACCACTGTTGACAAATCAAACAGTCCCAGAGAATGTCACTTGCTGAGTGTGTAAACCAGTGGCTCCCACTCTGGGTACCGGCACCCTGGGGTGCCATGGCAGTATCTAGGATGCCGCAAGGTTTACATATATCATATTTAATTAGTTAGGTAGATTTATAACATTTTATATGAATATTACCATAAACTACTCGGTTACACTACATTCTACACATAATTCAACTTTATTTATATCATTTATAATGAATCGTGATATACACATTATCTACTAAAATTAATTTACGAAAGTTGTGGTTTGTGGCAAAGAAGACAATGGCGCAGAGAGCACTTAGGTATGTCTAGGGTGTTATCACCGAAAAAGGTATCTATATCTATCTATCTATATATCTGTTTATATATATACTTAGAATTATATACATATATATAACTATATGTTTCTCTATTCATCGACACACATATATGAATGCATAAACAAAACACATGCACATATATGTGTGCGTGTGTGTGTGCATATACACACAAAAGTACATACATATACATATGTATATATACATATATATATATATATATATATATATATATATGCGTGTGTATTCATATGCGTGAATCTAATTGCATCAGGACATATACTACTATCTATCAGCCGATCCACCTATCCAGGTGTTCTCCTGCAAGCACTTAGGCCTATCGGGAAAATAATCGGCGAGGAAGCCACGCCCCCTGAAGGCCACGTCAGACTCCATATATAAGGAGGCTTCGCAAGCAATCCGCAGAGACGACCCGTCCTCAGTGAGCCTCCGACAGGACCAGCCATGAAGTTCGCGGTAAGGCACACGTTCAGATGAACACACATTTATACAGTATGTATCATGTATATACACATATATGTGTGTTTACACACACACACACACACATATACATGTATGATTTTATATATATGCATATATACATATGTATACTATACACACACATACACATATATATATATATATATACGTATATACATACACGTACATATATGTATATATTTGTGTGCTCAAAAATGGACACACCCTTACATAAATACATATATACACATATATATGTGAAAATTTATATGGATATATATCCATCTTATAAAGCTAATAGATATAATGTAAATCTAAATAGATTTAGTAAATGTAATACACCAGTTTGATAGATTAACAATTATAGATTGTATGAGATACGATTTTTTTATGAAGTGAAAAAAAATTCTACGAACTCCCTTGCCTTATTACAGGTAGCTGTACTGGTGTGTTTGGCAGCGGCTGTGGTTGCGCACGCCGATCCCGAACCACACTACTTCCGCTCTCCTTACTATTACTACCCTCACTATTACTATCCCCGTCACCATCACCTAGAGCCTCTGAAGGGCGATGGAGTGGCCAGGCATCCTGGTGGCGGCACCTCCTTCGTGGCTCCTCGAGTTCACGGTCTGAAAAAGCGCTCAGCTGACCCCATGCCGGAAGCTGACCCCGAACCAGCAGCTGATCCTCAACCAGTAGCTGACCCTGATCCCTCCAAGAGCTATAGTTACCAGGTAGTCCATCGTGGCTATCCCTACTACGGCTACAACCATGGCTATCGCTACCCTTACTATGGCTACCGTTACAGCCATCACTATGGCTACCCTTACACCTACCACAAGCACCACAAGAGATCAGCCGACCCTGAACCCGAAGCTGAACCTCACTACAGATATTACGGACACCCTCACTACTACAAAGGATATTATCACGGTTATCCTTACACCTATCCTTACTACGCCGGCTACCGCTACCGCTACAGGGGATAAGGAAGGGGTCAGGCATGGATTACGACAGGCCTTGTGGCGATGGTCCTTCACCAGATGTGTCTGATAGTCCGGTTTGCTCACGCCGGTTTTTCAAACATAGTACCATTATCAATCAATGAAGGCTATAGAAAACTGAGAGAGTCAGTGCAATAGAGAATAAAGATGACATTCAGTACTGGAGAATTTCTTCACTCCTCACTCACAATTTGGGTTATTATGAAAAGCGAACTCAGAGGTATTATTACATCAATTCTCAAGCAGTAAAAAAACTGCCATCACTATTGTCAATATGAAAAGTGCTAATGTGTTTAAATTTTGTATCAATCTTTCTTAATATACAAAATATGGAGTGTATTATTATCAGTATTATTTTTTCCTTCATATATTTATTTTGCCAACACCTTAACCGCTTTGCCGAAGATCAGATCTAGGGACATGCCATCCAGAGGCTCGAAAGAACTTGCCTCTAACACTCTGCTTTCCGAAGAGAACTCGCTGCATTACCCTTAGGCCGAATGTTTGGACCATGGCTGTTCATGAATTCTTTAAATAAATAGATAGATAAACCTTTTACACTCTACTTTCTGATGTGGAGACCCAGAACTCGCCGCATTACCCTTAGGCCGAAGGTTTGACCATGGTGTTCATTAATTCTTTAAATAGATAAATAATGATAATAATAATAACCTTTGCATAAATTTACTTACATGTTAAAACTGGCAAACTACCAACTCAAATATATGAGAGTAGATGCGGACAATACTACAGTATGTATACCAAATACAAAATTAATATGAGGACAATACTAAATATGTATACCTAATAAAAAATATTATGACGATAATTCCACCTACGGCAGAATTTTTATATCAAATTGAATAAAGTTTATAGATTCAAACTCTATATATATGTATGTGCATGTGTTTGTGTGTGCATACAATGTATATATATTCATATATATAATCACATATATACTCGTATATATACATATATATATGCAAAAATGTAAACATATAGAAATATATATAAATTATATAGAGAGAGATATATACTTGCATGTATATATATATGCGTATATGCGTGCGTGTGTGTATATGTGTATACATGCATGCATATATATATGTATGTATGTATGTATGTATATATGTCTGTGTATGTGTGTGTGTACATGTATACTATGTAAATATATATACATATGTATACACGTATATACCATAAACATATAAACCCATATATGTGTGTGTGCATACATACATACACACATATATGTGTATATGCACACAGACACAGACACACGCACACACAGACACACACACACACACACACACACACACACACACACACACACACACACACACACATACATATATATATATATTATATATATATATATATATATATATATATATATATATATATATATATATATATATGTGTGTGTGTGTGTGTGTGTGTGTGTGTGTGTGTGTGTGTGTGTGTGTACTTATATTCATGTACGCTTACACACACACACACACACACACACACACAAACGCACACAGACACACGCAATAAGAAACACATAAACACATAAACGCACACACACATACATATATATGCTTGCATATATATATGAATATGTATATATATATGTATATATATATATGAGTATGCATATGTAAATATATATGTATATGTTATATTATGAATATATATATTCATAAATACATGCTTATATATACATATATATGTGTGTGAATATATATATTCATAGATACATACATGTAAATGCATGCATATATATATATATATATATATATATATATATATATATATATATATATATATATATATATATATGCATATACATGTACATATGTATAATGTATATATACATATCCACAAACATATATATGTGTGTGAGAGTGTGAGTGTGCGTGTTTTATATATATATGCATTGTCACACACAAACACACATATATATACAGTATATATACCTATATATATATATATTATATATATATATATATATATGATGTGTATGTATGTGTGTGTGTGTGTGTGTGTGTGTATGTATATGTATACCATTTATTATTGTACACGTATGTCTGTGTGTATGTGTACATAGGTATACATACACATTCACATACAGTGTATGTATGTGTGTCAGTGTGCATGTGCATAAAGATTGATAGATATAGATACAAATACATATATATGCTTATATAGATATCTATAAATCTATAACACATATGTGTGTGTTTGTGTGTGTATCTATGTATATTTACATATATAAATGTGTATGCATATGTATATGTATTTAAGTGTATATATAGATACAAGCATATATATACATATAAACATATATATTGTATATATGTGTGTACCTGTTTTGTGTGAGCGTGTGTGTATGTGTGTGTGCATGTTTATATGTTCATGTATGTATACACACAAACTCAAACACACACAAACACACATATAATCATATTTATATACACCTATGTATTTTTGCATATGTATATATACATGTGTGTGTGTGCATGCGTATGAATGAACACATAAATCAGATATTGGCATATGTGTGTATTACTCGGGTAGGAGGTATACCACCACTTTCTGCGATAAACTGCACCCCACAGCAGAGACAGAGATATGATATACACAAATGCATTAAGAATAAGCAAAAGAGAGCACTCGTCTTTGACAGACTGAGGAAATACAGTTTTAATGGCTGTTCCCATAGGGTGCGTGAACCCCTGCTTGTCCAAGGCCACGCACAGGAGCCGTATATAAAGCGGCTTCCACAAGCAGTCAGCAGACACAGCGTCCTCGGTGAGCCAAGAAGAGGTCCAGCCATGAAGCTTTCGGTGAGTCGCCATAGATGTTAGCGAACGAAAACTTTATTAATACTTGAGCGTACATATACATACATAATCCCAGACAGAAATCACACACACATATATAACATATATAGATATGTATGTGTCTGTACATCTGTACATCTATCTGTCTATTTATACATACATATATTTTTTTTTTCTTACACTTTGACTTCCATTTAAAAAATGGATATCTAAAAGACAATTATTACTATCATTAAAATAGGCATGTATCAGCTTGACTGATTCATGTAGACTCAGATCAGACAAAACTGAGTAATCATCGTTGATTTACTGAATAGAGCAAAAGAAACATAATTCCAAGAGAAAACAAAATGTATTCCTATGATAGTTGAAATTTATAAAAGTATATCTTCCAGGCAATCGTACTGGTGTGTTTGGCAGCGGCCGTGGTAACACACGCCGATCCCGAGCCACACAAGTACCACCACTACCCCTACCACCACTACTCCTACCACCAATACCCCTACCATCACTACTCTCCTCGCCACCACTATGTCAAGCATCCGGCTGCCGGCACCTACTCCGTCAGCACTCAAGTCCATGGCCTCACCAAACGCTCAGCTGACCCCATGC